GGCGGCACCCGGGCCCGGGGCGGCGCGGGGGGAGCCGGGGCGGTGCTGGGAGGTGAAGGTGGGAATGTGCAAACTGGGCTCACCCCACAAGTTTGCTCTGAGCGTGGCCTCTGGACGTGTCCAGGGGTTAAACAGCTATAACACCACAGCTGTTGGTTATTTAATACACAGTTTATTGAGCTGGGTTGACTAAATTGCCAGTCTGCCCCTCTCGCTGAGTCCCCGTGCATCACCGTTGAAGCTGAGGTTGTGCTGTGATGGCCATCAGCGTGGGAAGGATGGCTCCATCTGGCCAATGTCCGATCCTTTGGGAGTATTTAGAGGAAGGAAAATCCCTCCCTGAGCAGCCTGGTCATAGTAACAGTCCCCATGGGACTGTTCTGGGGTTATTAGGAGCCCCTGGAGACTGTCCCCACTCTGTTTTGTTCTCCTTGCACCAGAAAAAGTAAGTGAAGGACCCCTTAACAGCAGAGATGTCTGAGATGGCCCCACTGATGTTCTCACTTTGGGCCCTACTTGCCCGAGGGGCCACAGAGCACGGCCACCTGAGCCCCAGCAAGTTGTCCTTTTTCCTTCACACATGTGAGAAGTTGGGGCAGGCAGGTGACCTTTAGTACAGGGCATCCGTGCTTTGGCTCACACAGAAGGAAGGAGTTCAGCTACAACACGGCCCTTGGTGTATGCAGGCAGGGTCAGGCAAAACGATTGCATGTGTGGGCCACCTGCATGGAGGTACGAGGCTAAAAGCACATAAGCTGCAAGGGAGGCACTCACACCTTCACAAGAAGCACTGCATCACAGGTTGGGACCACGGTGCTGGGTCTGGGTTGCTGGAAGTGGAGACAGGGCAGTAGGGCTGCCAGAGCATGGACAGGGGAGCAAAGATGCCTGATGGGATGTCCTGGGTGGAAGGGCTGCTGGGGCAGGAAAAGCTCCAGCGCTGGCACCAGGGCCAGCAGATGGTGGAGCTAAGTGAAGGAAATCCTTACAGGAATGGTCTTGTGAATCTGCTTGGTAATAGCTTGCCCCTGGGCTAATGACTTGGCTGATGTGGAAGCACCAAGAGATGGGCTGGGGTTGAGCTCTGCCCCTTCGAAGGATGGGGCCATGGGGTTCCTGCCCCAGCAGTGACCAGCATGCTGCATGGGCACTGCCCAGACAGCCCTGGCCCCCGAGACCTTGACGGCTGCAGTGAATGGTGCTGGGTAAAGGGCATTTCTTCTCCCAGGGACCTGAGATGTACATTCATGAAGGGAGAGAGAAACCTGGTCTCCATCAGCTGCCTCTGGTCTCACAGCAGCGCTCTCCCAAAGAGGGTCCTGGTCCAGGGCAGCATGAGCGCTGGGCTATGCTTGAGGACTCAGTAGTAGGAGCCTAGGAGGGCTGAGACCTTGTGCAGGAGCTCCTTGTGGTTGGCATGCAAAGGCATCCTCTTGTCCAGGACCTGCCAGCGGATGCACAGCTCTGGGTCACAGCCTTGCAGGAACTGTGAAGGACAAAAGATACTGCATGTTGTAGGCAAGGGGCCATACCAGGCATATCTATCCAGCCCCCAGCCTCCCGCCTGTTCTTTTGGGGTTCTCCATGGCTAGGCCACCCCATGATTGGGCCCATGTTTCTGCTGCATGGAGAAAGCTCATGCAGCTGGAGAAATCTGTTCTTGATGAGGGTAAGATCTGGGTCTGGAACCAAATGGATTTGGTGGAAGGATCTGCCTTGCTTGTGGTCTCATCTGCTCCATGCTTGCTTGGAGCCAGGTCAAGGACCTACGGAGGCAGGAAGCCCTTACCGAATTCATCCGCTTCATCTCCACATCGTTCTGGTCATCAAAATGCACGCTGATGGCAACAGTCTCGACCCAAGCATTGTCCGTGTTGCGGGGATCATCGAGGTAGCCCTTATGTATCTGTGTATGGAAGAGGATTGCTGCATTAGTGGAGCCCTGGACACTTCTCTGACAGCACCGAGAGGTCCCAGGTGTCTCTTAACTGAGTGGGTGTGTGTGCTGAGGTGGGGGGATATTGCTTCACCACCTCTCTGTCTCTGCTGGAGAGCTGTGACCTGTTTGCACTTTGTGTCCTCTGAGCTACAGTCATGAAAAACGATTGCAATGGGTGCAGACACCCACCAGTCCGCTACGATGGGTTGGTACCCTTCAGACCTGGACATGGTCTCAGGCCATTCCTCCTCCATCAACTATTCCTACCCCAGCCTGAGGGCTCTGCATGAGCTTCGGCAAAAGGGTTTTTACCCTGCTGCCCTACCGCTGTGAGCCTTGTGTAGTGCCATGACACCGCGTGGCCCCGTACCTCCGTGCCTTGTTTCAGCAAGTTCTGGAACTGGGGCCAGAACTCCCGTCGCAGGATCCACTTGAGCTTCAGGGGTAGCAGCTCACCCGGCTCCAGTGACCCCTGCGCCAAAGCAGATGTCACCAAAGGGGCCTGACCATGGGCCAAACCTCATTGCAGCCAGTTTGGTGCACCAGAGACCCCGTGGTCAGACATTCTGCTGTGGGCAGAAGATACCTCAGAGAGAGCTGCGAAACCCACCTCCATTTCTGTTCTTTTGAGGCAGATCTTCGCCTCAGACGGGCACCTGGGCTACATAGACCCTTCTGAACCAGCGGATTTCAACTAACTCTTACCCCAGGCAGCGCCCAAACATCCGACAGGGGGTACTGGGCAACCAAGACTTCCAGCATCTTCTTCAAGCTCTTCCTGATAATGGATCCATCCGAATTCCTCCTCCAGCTGTGAGAGAGACCCCTGTGATGCTGCAGAAGACCTTGACTCCCTCCTCCCCAGCACGTTGGCAAAGGTTCCCACTTTGAGCAATGGGTTTTGCCAGACAGCCCCATGTCCCGGGAATGGTTTTGTGTCCCCTTTCCCACTTGCATCCCTGGCACCACTTCCCCACACCAGTCCTGGAGCAGGACACCTCGCAGTTTCCATGCACTCACCGGGTCACAACTGGGTGCAGGGCATGGTTGGGTCCAAAGCAGTGCAGGATCCCGCGGCCTCGTAGACCCGTTCTGCCCATGGGATTCCTAGCAGGAAAAAAGCACAAGAGAAGGCATCAGGATGCCTCATCTCAGACTGTGAAGCTGATCAAAGCCAGAATTTGCCAGCACAGCACTGTGGGTGTTCTGAGCTTCTGGGGATGCTTTGGAAAGGCCCTGAATAAAATGTGTCATTTCCATGCTCCATCATTAGCTGCTTGGAAAATGGAAGGGATTTGATGCACCCAGGCCCTCCTGCCATGTGTTGCCAGGACAGCATTTTTTTGGCCTTGGTGGTGTTTTGCAAAGGTTCTTGGTAGCACAGGCAGGTTTCCCATCTCCCTATTCCCACTTCACCCATCCATCCCTGTGGCCAGCAGACTCACAGTGGCAGCCCATCCTGCACCTCATAGAGGCCGTGGAAGCTCTGCCGGTTGATCAGCCCATCCATGGCATTGTAATTGATCTTCAGCAGCGACTCTGAGGACCTGGACAGCAGGACGCAAACAGTCAGGGCAGGGGAAGGGGGAAGGAGCTCCAGGCAGAGGACTGGGGAGGACACTCACAGGCTGAATGGGTCCTGCACAGACATATCATTGTGGTTGGCCGAGTAGGAGACAGGGTTGTAGAGCAGGAACTCCACCTGCAGAGCACATGGTGGCATCAGGCTCAACTCACATCCCTGCTCTGGTGACAGCATCATTTGGGGGCAGGCAGGGACCAGAACTCATGGTCCCTTTCTATCCCAGTCCCTTTTTTACATCTAGCTCTTGGCATCATGCCTGGAGGCACGTAGAGCCCAGGACCCTGTTCTGTCCTCTCTGGGGCTGAACTCAGGGTCTTAGCTGAAGGACCAGTGTCTCGCTTGTGTACTCACAGCAGCTGGTGCCAGATGCTGCTCCTGGCCCACACAGCCCCAGAACAGGCCCTGATTCAGGAAACGAGGTAGCAGATGTTTTTCCCCCTCTATTCCCTAACAGTGTATCCCTGACATCCCTGGCAC